CCAACGTTAAAGTCATAGAAAATAAAAGTAATTATATTGGTATTGTTTACTATGGAGTTGGAATAGACTCTTGGCTGACCCTTCAGCAGGTTTTCAGAGGCTATAAATCACACAGAAGGATACTGCCCATCTTAGAGCAGCTGGTAGACTTGAACCATGTGCCTTTGAGTTGGAAGCACAGTTCCTTACTACTAGGCCACCAGATCTCCCTTAAGTAATGATACTGGAATACAAATCCAGAGGTGATGTGCTTCATATTATTCCCTTGTGAGAAGGAATCATAATTCAGATTATTGTTGTTGTTGTTATGTGCCATCCAGTTGCCTGCAACGTAGTGACCCTATGAACAATAGCTCTGAAGCCTGTCCTGTTCTGAGCCAGTCTGACTCCAACACACCTGCCCTCATTGCCCTAGCTACTATATCAATCCATCTCATCAGGGGTCTTCCTCTCCTGCACTGTCCCTCCACTCTTCTGAGTATGATGTCCTTCTCCAAGGATCAGTTCCTCCTGGCCACATAACCAAAGTATGTGAGAAAGAGCTTCAAAATCCTAGCCTTCAAGGAGAAACTTGGTTTCACCCTGTCCAAGACAGATCTATTTGTTTTTTTGGTGGTCCACGGTATATTCAAGACTCTTCTCCAGCATCAACTCAAAGGCATCTATTCTTCTGTCATCCTTCATCATTATCCAGCTCTCTGATGCATAGCAAGTAATTGCAAAGACCATGGCCTGGATCAGGCACACATTAATCTCTAGACTGACATTGTTGCTTCTCAGTACTCCAGAGAGAACCCTGACAGCAGATTTACCTAAGGCAATTCATCTTTTGATTTCCTGACTGCTGATGACAAAATTGTTGATTGTGGATCTGAGCAAGTTATAATAATTGTTAACACAACAATCTCTTCTTCATCCATCATGGTGCTGCCAGTTGGCCCAGTGGTGAGAATCTTTGTTTTCTTGATATTGAGCCTCAATCCATATTAAAGGCTGCAGTTCCTGACCTTCTGCAGCAAGTGCTTCAGGTCCTCCTCAGTTTCAACAAGCAGAGGCTCTGAAAATGGGCTCAAACTCACCAGTGGTTGTGATAAAGGCCTAGCACTGGGAAATGTTCTGTTCTGTTCTGTTCTGTTCTGTTGTACATACGTCAAGTCACCATGAGTTGGAACTGAGTTGATGGATGACATCTAGAAACAGCAATCTCTTGTTATTTTAATACTCAAATTGTCCGAGATTTAGTCAATGGAGACCTGTCAAAGTGGCTTCCCTGTTCTTTCAATTCACTGCCCTGTCTTTGAGTTGTTTCTCTCCCATAGCTACCTACCCTACAGGACACGGTAGAACTGTTCCATAAGATTTCCAAGACTGTAAATCTTTACCTCAGCAGACTGCCACATCTTACCTCACAGAGCATTTGGTGGATTTAACTGCTGATGTTTAGTCAGCAACTCAACACTTAAGTCATTGCACCCCAGGGCTCTTTTACCCCTTTAATAAGTCTCTGTAATTCTTGGAACATTTACTTTCTTTTCTGGAACAAGCAGGTTATTTTGAGTGGATTCTACCTTCTTGTTATGTGCCATTGGGTCAACCACAATTCATAGCAACCCTATGAATAACAGCTCTGAAGCCTGCCCTGTCCTGAGCCAACCTCACTGTCTCTGACACACCCAGCCCCACTGCCACAGTCACTGTGTCAATCCATCTCATCCAGGGTTTTCCTCTCCTGCACTGACCCTATACCTTCCCAAACATAATGTCCTTCCCAAAGGATTGGTCCCTCCTGAAAACTACTAAAAACAAATTTTGATCTCTCTACATTTGCCTATCTTGGCTTTTTCATTTAAGATGCTACTGTTGTTATGCGTCATCAAGTCAACTATGACTCATAGTGACCCTATGAACAATGGCTCTTAGCCGTGTCCTATCCTGTGTCATCTCCACCATCTCTAACACATTTGAGTATTGTTTCAGTGACTGTGTCAATCCATCTCACTGAGGGTCTTCTCTTACCCTCACCTTTCACCTTCACAGGCATCGCGTCCTTCCCTAATACTTGGCCCTTGCTTATTAAATGTCTCAAGTATTGAGATGGAGTTTCACCAGCCTTGCCTCCAAGGAACACCCTCATTTCACTTTCTCCAGGATAGACTTATTTTTTCTCTTGGCAGTTCATGGGATATTCAATACTATCCTCCAACATCACAACTAAAAGGCATTGATTGTTCTTCAGTAATCCTTAGTCATCTTTCAGATGCATAGTAAGTAACTGAAAGACCATGGCTTTGATCAAGTGCACTTTAGCCTTTAAACTGACAACACTGCACTGCTCTTTAGTACTCAGGACAGGTCTGCACATTTTACAGTGCAATTTGTCTTTTGATTTCTTGACTGCTGCCACCAAAGGTGTTACTTATGGATCTAAGTAAGATGAAGTAACTGATGACGACAGTCTTGTCCTTTTTTTGTGTTATTTCACTCAGAAGAATAATTTCAAGGTTCATCCATGTTACAGCACATTCCCACTCACTCTCACTCGCTCTCTCTCACATTGACATGGTGTTGGAACCAACTCAGACATAGCTGACCCTCTAGTGGGTTTTCGGAGGCTATAGATCACACAGGAGGAGACTGTCCATCCTTCTCCTGTGGAGCAGTTGGTAGATTCAAACCGCCTATCTTTGGATTGCTGGACAACTCCTTACTCTGGAGGCCACCAGATCTACCTCTTAGCATCTAGCTATACCATTTTTATTTTCTTTTTCTAGTTCATCTGCTCTAATTGCAGTCTGAAGCAGACAGGATTCTACAAACCATCCCAAGGGGAAGTCAACTTCATTTCAGTGTGTGTGTGTGTGTGTGTGTGTGTGTGTGTGTGTGTGTGAAAACAGGTCAGTATTAGAAGCCCCGGTGGTACAGTGGTTAAAGTATTCTGAGGGAGAATGGTGGCAGTGTGCTACTGTAAAGTCACAGCCTTAGAAACCTCACAGGACAGTCTACTCTGCCCTACAGGGCAACTGTGAATAGGAATGACTCATCTGGAATCAAACAGCAGTGTTTGCTATTGCAGTTGTTGGGTTGGTCTTGGGTTTAATATCACTATGAGGTCTGGTAACTTAGTGGTAAGAAGTTGTGTGCTGCCAGCACAAATGCAAGTGGTTGGAAGCCACCAGCTCCCAGCAGGAGAAAAACGTACATACTTATCTGATGCAATTAACTGCCTCTAAAAACCCACTGAAAGGTCAGCTTTGAGTGAATTTCCATCATAGCATAAACATTGTCAGACTATAGAAAGACTTTGAAAAAAGCAATATGAAAATAAGATTAAGAGTTCTAGAGAGGTGACAAAGGTACCTTTTTAAAGATCCTCTGTCCTTTCCACCATGTGTCTTCAGTGATTAAACTTGCAAGGTCCCAGCCCAAACAGGTGAAGGGCTGGATGGAGAGGAAAAGCTGGTGTCCATGAGAACCCCACTGGATGCCCTTGAGGATCCTGGACTGAGGAAGGCATTTGAGTCAAGTCTGAGGTGGGGATGCCCTAGTGTGGTGCCTGTCATGTAAACACCACGATCCCTTCCTTAAGGCAATGGGGCATGGCAGTAAGAACTTATACTGCAATCTCAAAGGCACACAGTTCGAGTTCACCAGCTGCTCAGGATGGGCAATCTTCTCCCGTGCGATTTGTTGTTGTTATGTGCTGTCGAGTGGCCTGCAACTCATAGCAACCCTATGTACAACAATGCCAATCTTATTGTCTCTGACACATCTACACCCTTAACCCCAGTCACTGAATCAATCTATTTCATTGAGGGTCTTCCTCTCTTGCGTTGTCCTTCCACCCTCCCAAGCATGACCTCCCTCTCCAAGGACTAGTCCTGCCTTGCAACATGTCCAAAGTATATCAGAATCCTTGCTTCCAAGGAGCAGCCTGGTCTTATTCTCTCTAGGATAAATTTGTTCTCCTAGCAGTCCATGGGATAGTCAATACTCTTCTCCAGCACCATAGCTTAAAGGCATCAACTCTCCATCATCCCTAGTCATTGTCCAGCTTTCTGATGCACAGCAATTAATTGCAAAGACCATGGCCTGGATCAGGCACACCTTAGTCTCCAGACTGACATCGTTGCTCTTCAGTACTTTGGAGAGGTCTTTGACAACCGACTTTCCCATTTGCTGCCTCTGAAAATCCTCTGGAAGATCAGCTGTCGGTTGATTCAGACTCTATGGTATACAACAAAAAGAAGATTAAGTTGAGATGAAGTGAGGTGCTTGCATCCTAGAGTCAAGTCATTTGAGCTGCTTCTGGTCTGCACAGGTTGTAGGAAGCCACCAGTGCTCTTTGACCTAGCTATTGCTTCCCTTAATTCTTCCTCCTATCTTTTCCCAGCCTGGGTACACGCTTCCTATGTGACCCTCCTGGTTTCACTCACTCATTTTTCCTAATCAATGCCTGCCGACAGCGTCCCCTCATGCAGACTTTTTCCTTGAAGGAGCCTGTTCTTTCCCACCCTATGGATATGAACTCAGCAGGCAAAGTCCTGGGACTTCTTGGCTGGAATATAATACCAGAGGGATCCTACACAAGTCGGCCTCACTCAAGGCCTCAGTTTCCCCAACTGCACAGGGACGTAGGCGCTGTCCTGTAACTTGTTGGGAGGCCTGAGTCAGTGAGGAAGCCTCTAGGAAACAGGACCAGTGAGGACCCTCAAAGCAAAAGCTAAAAGGCCGCTGGGAGGTGAGAGCAGCCTTCGGTCCAGGAGCGGGGAAAGACTGGGGAAGGGGAGGGGTTGGGAGGCCGGCTCCGCCCCATCCCCCGGGTGGGCGGGGCTCACAGCTGAGTATATGCTGGGCTCTCCTCGGGGTCCTAGTGCCCGCCCCGGGAAGCGGTCAGACCTCCGAGGCGGGGACCGGTGTTCACTGGCCAGCTCGCGGCTCGGCGGTGTCCGGGTGGTCAGACAGTGAATTCGCTGCAGCTGCCTCCCCAGCTCCCGCTCGCTATGAGGACTGCGCTGGCCCTGGTTCTTTTTCCCCTGATTGCCCTTTACGGGCGCGGTGAGTTCTTTTTAGAGAAATAGGGAGGGACGCCAGGGCCGGGCGGAGCGGGCTGGACTGGCCACAGGTGGGAGGGAGGCGGGTTCCGTGCGCGGGGGAGTGGCCCGATACTGTTCTGGCAGGACGGAGTTCAGCCCCCAGCCCCGGCAGCGGGATGGGCCAGGGTGGGGGTTCTGCGAGGTTTGGAGAGGGGACCCCTCTCGCTGCGCCCCTGCGCGGCCATGGGCATCCTCTGTGGCGAGTGCCTCTGGGCCGGCAGCTGAGCTAGGTGACCTCAAGCTTTGCAGGCAGCAGCACTCACCTCGAGTGCAAAAGGGAATGCTCGGAAGACTCGAAGACTCCGTCTCCCATCTCTCACCAGGGCTGGGCAGTTTATTCCGTGAGGTCACTTGAAGAGTGAACACAAGTAGACACCAACGAGCAAGTCCATTCTTCAGCCCTTAGCTCCAGAGTCCTCACTCTCCTCTCGAGAGGGCTTCTCTAACACCGCTATGGCAAAGTTAGAGAAACAGCCAGAGGGAAGGGCCTTGCCCACATCGGCAGCCTTGGAATGTCTAGCCTTTCGGGGGACAGACCTTCCAAGAAGCATTTTTTGGTACTGTTGTCTCTGATAGCCTGCGGGATGGCAAGCCTGTCACTCAGGAATCCTTTGTTCCTGATACCTTGAAAGGGGGATTTTCACATCCCTTCTCTAGACAGAGTCCAAAAGTGGTAAGAATTTCCTTCTTTGGACCTCACTTTACTCACCAAAGATCTGAGGATCCTTTCAGCTCCTACTCTCTGGTCTAGTTTTATCACCTAAATTCTAGTGCACCTGGGGACTAGTTAAGGCTCCTATCCATAATCCAGGGTGGAGACCTACTCTATCCATCATCCTTGGATAGCGATTTACTACAGAGGGTGTTGAAGTAGGGGGTGGGTGAGACTCAGAGGTTCTTAAAGGGTTATGAGCGCACACCAAAGATGGTGTCTGCCCATCAGATTGCGTCCTGGCTCTGCTCCCACTTGTTGAATGACCCTGTTTCGTGCCTTTTCCCTTTTCTGGGTCTTGGTTTCCCTTTCTGTTCCATAGGCTGATACACCTTTCTTGCATTTTAGGAATGCAGATGTGTGAGCCAGTTTCTGCAGTGTTTCTTAAGTGCGTGGTCCCAAGGCAGGCAACCCGTACAGATCACCCAGGACAGCTTCCTGGGCCCCATTTTAGAACCACTGGGTCATAAGCTGCATTTATACAAAAATCCAGGTGATTCTTACACATGCTTGGAGACACCCTGATAGCATATGGTGACCTTTTTGCAAAAGGTGGAACAGCAGGAGGTGGTTTTTTTTGGGTTTTGGGTTTTTTGTTTGTTTTTAAATAGGGAAAGAAATATTTTAAAAATTGAAACTAGTGAAAAATGCAAGTCATAACAAACAAAAAAATTTACAGCTTAGCAATCAAAAGATGTCCAGTCACATTACTTCCCACCATTGCCATCTTCATCAGTGTGTCCAAGTTTGTAATCACAGCTTAGGAGACAATACCAGATAGGAACTGACTGAGTAATAGGAGAGTCAGTAATTCAGAAATTACAGAAATATTAAAGAGAATGTTACTGGCATATTAGATTCCACTATTACATATAAAAATGTAAAGCATTTGAACAGTAGAAAAACACAAGGGGCAAAAAAGATAAAAGAAAACCCCTGGAGCTGGAAAATGCTTGCAATTAGCACATCAGATGAGTTTGGTGTTTGAGAACAAATTAATAGTTTCTTCTGACAGTAACTAGTATCAATGGATGATATTGTAATATGTCATTGAGTGCACTACAACTAATAGTTGACCCTAATAGGTCTGAACCTTGACCTACGCTGTGCTATCCTCACTATCTTCGACATGCCCGAACCCACTGTTACATTTTTGGTGTTAATCTATTCTGTTGAAGGGCTTCCTCTATTTCTCTGACCCTTTATCTTTCCCAGCATGATGTCTTTTTCCAAGGACTGGTCCCTCCAGACAATTTGCCTAAAATTTTTTTTTAATTTTATTTTATTATTTTGTTTGTGTGTGTACCGTCAAATCAGATCTGACTGGTACAGGAGGAGATTGCTCCTCCTTCTCCAGCAGAACATCTGGTAGATCCGAACCACATACCTCTGGGATTGCAGCAGTCTCTTGCCGCTAGGCCACCAGAACTCCCTTAAAAGATTTTTTCTTAATTTTAATGAAAGTTTACAGAGACTTAGGGTTTCCAGTCATTCATTGTTGCATTTTTCTCCCTGTCCACTCCCTTGTCCACCAGTTCACACTCTTCTCCTTGAAAAGTAAAAGAAAAATTCTTTCATTGTTATGCAATCCCTCCCCCCAAGTCCTCTCCACTGTGCAGCCTTCATTCTGGACTCCTGTCATGACAATAATACCTAATCAAGGTGTTTTTAAAAAAACAAAATTTAAAAAACACACCACTCCACAAAACCAACCCACAGCTGTCGTTTAATGACCACAGATCTTGTATTCCCTTCCTAAGAAAAACAATCCCCAAACTAAAAATCACTCTGGCTCTCTCATGTGCCCACTTGGCACAAGATTATTGACCAGTACTTTCTATACAGTATATTCCAAGAAAATAGGAATATCTTTCAATTTTTCCACTCCTGAATCTTAGATCAGATATGCTCCCTCAAACTATATTCAAATTCACAAGATTTATCATTTTAGCGATGACTTCCTCAGATTGTAAGCCTTTTACTGGCAGGCATTTTTCATAGAACGCCTAGTCCTAGGAAAGGGAGACCCTGGCCACCGGCTGGTCCAACCCACTCCTCATCAGTCTTTGGGTCGTGACTGACCTCTAGCGGTAGCCTCTTGCTTTAACTGTGTATGGAATATGACCCCCCGCTAAATCGTGGAAGGGTGAAAGGCCTGTCCTTATTCCTTTAATTCCTTGAACCCAGCAGCCTCATGGACAGAAAGCAACAGGCTAAGGAGTTCTGGTGTGGTGGCCTATGGGTAAGAAGCTGCACTGCAATCTCAAAGGCATACAATTAGAATCCACTAGCTGCTCTGTTGGCATCCACTTCTGAAATGGCTTGCCTCCAGAAACTCTATGTAGGAACAGTGCTCAGGCCTTTCGTTCATAGGGTCACTATGAGTCATCTACGACTCGATGGCACCTAACAACAACAACAACGACGACATAGAGAGAGCTACTTTGGCCTAGTGGACAGAAAGTTATGCTACCAAGCTGAAGGTGGGTGATTTTAATCTGCTGCCCTCAGGCCAGGTTCAAATTGTTTTCCTGTCAAACGTTCTTCTAGGTGGTATAGCACTGGTCTGAGTATTGCTGTACAGAGGTAACTCGTGATTGCTGTGATGCTGAACACTGGGACACTGATGTGCCAAACGTGGTAATGGTTACCCATGGTGGACAGTGTTGGCAGGAGCTTCCCTACTAAAACAAGCCTGGAAGCAGGAGCGGCATCCACTTCCAAAATGGCTTGCCTCTAGAAACTCTATATAAGAACAATGCTCAGGCCTTTCTTTCACAGGGTCGCTATGAGTCGTCTACGACTCGACGGCACCTAACAACAACAACAGCAAGCTGCTCTGTAGAAGGATAGATCTCCTTTCCTGCAATTTACTACCTCTGAAAACCAGCTGAAGCTATGGGTAGACAACAAAGAGTCTAAATATGATGTGCTGCTCTGGGATCTCCTCCTTTTTGGTGGCGAGTGTGTGCCCCGGCCCTTATGGCCACCTCTCAACACACACATATACAAATATAAGAGAGGACATGGAGATATGCCTGATGCTAAAGAACATGAGAAGAGTCCACAGCCAGTCTCTCCCTGACAGGCAGTGCCTCCTAAACCTGGCTGTGCCACCAACTTGCTGGAGATCCTTGAGTAAGTTTCTTACCTCCTTTGGGCTCACATTTTCCAGTTAAGAAATAGTGTTGGGAGCCCATAGCTAGTCTTCAGGATGGCAGAGGGTACCTTGAAGCACCTGAGTTCCTGAGAGGTGAGGCAGAGCCAAAGATGAGCACCTGGGTCTCCCAGGTATAATCAGAGCCAGCATATGGGCCCCCACAGCTGCAGAGCTGCTCTGAGCTCCCAACAACCCAGCTGGGCTGACTTCCTGGGCTGCAGAGATGAGCGAGCCAGTCTCCCCCTAGCACTGCAGGACTGGGGCCAAGTGCTAAAGGTTCTGAACCTAGAGTGGCCTCAGATATACCAAATTATCTTGAGCAAGTCACACCCTCTGCTGTGAAATGAGAGGCTGCCCCAAATACACTCACTCCTCATTCATATGGGACAGATCATTATGTGAAAACAGAGGAAGAGTATATCATTGCATAGTTGCAACTCTACCATTGTATAATTGCCAAATTACATACTTGCATAACTGTCACACCACCGAGAATCATGGTCCAGCCAAGTTGACACATAACCTTAACCATCACGGTCAACATTACTCACAGCTCACTATTCCTTACTATCAGATGTATGTATGTTGTTAATGCTCAAAAGAATTGCATAGTAGTTTTTTTACTATGTCCTAAATGCAAAAATGGCTGAGATCATTAGTAAGTGAAGAACAGGCGCAGATACATTAAGGAAGGAGCGGCGAGGGACCCAGCTGCAGTCAGTGTATTCAAGCAGCTAGCCTCTGGCTGAGGGTGGAGGGCAGTTAAGACTCAGTGGACCATCACAGGTCGAGGGTGTGAGAGACATCATTCAATCTAGGTCAAACAACCACAAGACCCCCTCTGATAGCCTGGGGGCAGTTGAGGGGAGAGACAGCAGGCAGCAGGTATGCTGGGAGCATCTTTCACAAGGCACTAAATATTGCATCTGCTCCAGATAGGCAATGAGTTGGAAAGCACACAGAGCAGACAGGGCAGGGGCTGCTCCCCTGACCATGTGTCCAACCCGGCACCCACCCAAGAGTCCATCATGCACCTACTCAATCCAACCCGCCCATGGTCTGGACCGTCTTGTCCTTCGCATGGAGGTACAGCTCAGTACTCTTAGAACTGGCCCTTCAGAGAGAATGAATCAGAGTGTGAGCCAAGCAGCCCCTCTCCTGTATCCCCACACCCACCTTATTTCTTTATCCTTTCCCAGCACATCTTCCTCCCCCAGCTCTTTCCCCCAGCCAATTTCCATGTCTTTTCCAGCTACTATACCCCTGTTGACTATTCTGACTCTTCTTGCCAAGAAAAAGTATGGGTCCCTGCTCAGACCTGAAATATTCTCCTTGAAGACACCAGAACAAGCAAGATTGAGTTTCACCCCAGATTTGAGAGGGAATGAGATAAAGACCCAAACACTACTTTCAAGGTACCGGGGTATGGAGAGGTAGTTCTGGCACTGGTGGAGCCCAGGGGATGATGAGGGCAGGCTAACTGAAGGAGGTTCCATATGGCTCTAAACTTAGACCTCTCCTTTAAACTCCAGAGCAAAAGCCTGCTGCCAGCTGGACCTCTCCTGGTGTCTTTCAAGTACCTGTTGCTGTGTAGCATCAAAATGGAACTAATTCACAGCTGACCCTCCAGCAGGTTTTCGGAGGCAGTAAATTGTAGGAGAGGTGATTGCCAATCTTTCACCCAAGGAGCAGCAATTCCTTATCGGTGGTACTCAACAACACAAAACCAACAAGCCACCAGAGCCTCCTTTAAAGCACCTAATGAGGCATTAATTAGATTAATTAATGAGGTTCATTGGTAGAATTTTTGCCTTACAAATAGGAGACCAGGTTCTATTACAGCTCATATACACTACCAGTCATTGTAGATTTACATGTTGCTGCGATTGTAGCATAGTGGTAAGGAGCTGTGCTAACAACAGGAAGGCACATGGTTCAGATACACCAGCTATTCTGTGTTGCAGTCCTCTCCCTTAAGACTTACAGCCCCTGGAAACCTGCTGTAAGAAGATCAGCTACGGGTCGGTTTTGACTTGACACACAAATAATGATGCTGATCAGTGAACAGAACTTCCAGATTAAGGTGGACTAGGAAAAAAGACCTAGAAATCAAATTTTTATTTCAGCCAATGAAAACCACGATTATAGATCATGATAGACTATTGTCAAACCACAAGCAGTCTCTGAGGTGGTATGGGACTGGGAAGCATTTAATTCCATTTTGCATGGAATTTCTCTGAGTCAGGGAACAACGCAAAGGCAGCTAACAGCAACAGGCAGGTACTTATGCTCAGTAGATCCAAGTCTGGACCCAGAATATTCCTCCCTCATCCCTCTACTCTTTTTTAGTGAAGGCATCACTCTCCATACAAATCTGCAAACAAAATTCATATTTGGTTAACTTCTATACCACACTGCAAGCCCTCTGGGGGCAGGAACCATTTCTGCCTTTTTCTTGGCACTGTTCTATGAGCTCTGATGTCCTAGTGGCAAAAAGCTGTGCTGCAATGCTAAAGGCACGTGGTTTGAATCCACAAGCTGCATGGTGGGAGAAGGATGGGCCATCTCCTCCTGTGTGATTAACTGCTAAGGACCAGTTCCGACTGGATGGTACACAACAACAGTTCCCGGCATGGGGAGCTCTGGTGGCTTAGTAAGGAGTAGCACTGGCAGCCTAAAGGCAAATGGTTCATATCCACCAGCTGCTCCACGAGAGAAAGATGGGCAATCTCCACCCATGCAATTTACAGCTTGAAAACCCACTGGAGAGTCAGCTGTGAGTCAGTTGTGACCTGACGGCACATAATAACAATAATATTATCTGTTTATAAGAGTTCCTGGCACAAATGAAACACTCTGATATTTGGTAGCCAGCTGACTGGGGGCAGTTCTGGTAAGAGAAAATGTCCTCCAGGCCCTAGACGTGAGATAGCACAGGACACATGGGAGAAAGGCTAGCAGAAGGGTATGGCCAGAACCCAGAGAATCTGGGGTAAATGTGAAGAGGTGGGAGAAAATAAGCCGGTGCTGAGATAAAAGTCTTGGACATCAATCCAAAATATTTGGCTTTAATTCTGCCTGCTGCACTAAGGGGTGATGGGTAGGGAGGGACATTTGTCCAGTTTGTGTTGTGAGAAAATCACTTTAGGGGTGAAGAGATCAACGTGAATGCTACTGGAACAGCCTAGGGCATGGATGGGAAATTAGGGCCTTGGTCAGAGATGGCAGAGATGGGGGCAGCAGACTGAGAAACTTGGAAAGTAGACTAGACAGCACACTGGGTGGACCACTTGGATGAGCCAAGGAAGGATCAGGCTAAACAGCCATTTTTTTTAACCAAATGTCAGGAGCCTAGGATGCATTCATTGCTAGAAGAAACAGGATGGAGAAGGAAGAGGACAGATAGAACAGCCCTCCCCTTCACTGCCATCAGCCACAGTGATGATCAATTGGAGGGGGATCTAGCAGGCCTGTGTGTGTGTGTGTGTTTCCTCAGGGGACTGCCGCATGGCCAATGCAGAGGAGAAGCTCATGGACTATCTTCTGAACAAAACCCGCTACAACAACCTGATCCGCCCAGCCAACAGCTCCTCCCAGCTCATCTCCATCAAGCTGCAGCTCTTCCTGGCTCAGCTCATCAGCGTGGTAGGTGCAGGGGCCCCCTAGGCTTGAGACAATCCTGAGAGGAGAGGCAGCTAGGTCTGGGGGTGGGGGGATGGAGTGACCGTGCTGTGGTCAGGGTTGGGAGTTAGGTGACTTGAGTTTTAGTTTTGACATTGCTCAGGTTTCTAGGCAGGGTCTAGATTTTTCCTTTCATCTTTTTTCATTTCTGAAAATTAAGGCATTTACCAGAATTTTGAGTCTTGAGCCTGCTTTCTCTAATGTTAGGATAATTTTTCATTCCACAAATGTCATCTGTGACTTTGGCATGTGCTATTCTCTTTATGTGGGGGTTTCTCTCCTACTTTGTCTACACTAGCTCCAGACTTTGGAGCTAACTACAAATCTGTTGCCAAAGGCCGCTTTAAAGTGCTAAAGAGCAAGGTTGTCACTTTAAAGACTAAGGTGTGCCTGCCTCAAGCTATGGTCATTTTAATTGCTTTATATATGTGTATGACATTTGGACAATGAATGAATAAGGAATGCTGAATAAGAATTGATGCCTTTGAACTGTGATGTTGGTGAAGAATATTGAATGGAGCATGGACTGCCAAAGGAACAAAGGAATCTACTTTGGAAGAAGTGAAACCAGAGTACTCTTTAGAAGCAAGAATGTTGTGAGGAGGGGCTAGTCCCTGAAAAAGGACATCATTCTTGGAAAAGTATAGGGTCAACCAAAAGAGGAAGACCCTCAGTGGGATGGGTTGGCACAGTGACTACCACAATAGACTTAAGCACAGTGGAGATTGTGAGCATGGTGCAGGATTGGGCAGGGTTTTGATACATAAAATTACTATTAGTCAGAACCAACTCAGTGGCACCTAACAACAATAACAACACAAAGACCTGATCTCAGTAGCAATTAAAATTCTTTGGCTGAAAGAAACAGAATGCCCAATGACGAATAGCTAAAGCAATAAAGTCATTTATTAAATCACATAACAAGATAGACAATGGATATAGTTCCAGGGCTGATTATTTCATTAACTTAATCATGTCAGTGCTCTGTGCTTTTTCTTTTTTAGCTCATGCCATAAAATTGCAGCAATAACCCACAACATAAAGTTTTCATATGACAGTATCTATAGCAAGAAATGCCAAATCCTCTGTACATCCTCATTTGAACATGAATAAGACATTCCCAGATTACCTACTGTCTATACAGCCCTGTGAAGCTCATTGGCTTGAGTTGTAGTCCAAGCCCAAGCCTCAACTAATCATTGGCCAGTTGTTGTTATATGTTGTCAAATTGCCTGCAACTCATAGAGACCCTATGTACAATAGCCCTGAAACCTGTACTACTATCCTGTGCCAACCTGATTGTCTCAGGTACCCTTACCCTCATTACCCTAGTCACTGAATCTATCCATCTCATCAAGGGTCTTCCTCTCTTTCTCTGTCCCTCCACCCTTCCAAGCATGACATCTCTCTCCAAGGACTAATTCCCTCCTTGCAACATGCCCAAAGTCAGAAGAAGTTTCAGAATCCTGGCCTCCAGGAGCAGCCTGTTTCACCCTCTCCAGGATGAACCTGTTTATTCTCCTTGCAGTCCATGATATATTCAATATTCTTCTCCAGCACCACAGCTCAGAATTGGCCAGAGAAACTGAATTATCATGGTTGGTGTAGTCTTAACTATACATAGCAAGGGGGCTATAGAAGGACTCATGAATATTCAATATCTAATTATGTTCAGGCTTTACTATAAAAGAAGAGACGCAATGACCATTGCTAGGCATTCAATGGTCTTGCCAGACTCTGTCTTAACTGGGCCTCCAACTATCCATTGCTTCTCCTCCTCGTCTTTAAAGCCTTGTTTCATTACCTTCCCCAGTGTGCTCAGCTAATAGCCTCACTTGTCTCATAATTGTTGAGAGAAATAGGAACTAGGTTCAAAGAACAGAGAAGTACAGAAGCTCTGGTGCTAGGATAAGACGAGAGGCGGCTGCTGGTCTAGCCAGGCTGAGTGAGGCTGTGAAGAGAGGAGGAAAGTCACTGAGGGTTTGGAAGGGAGGGATGGGTTACAGAGTTCACAGAAAGGCTTGGGGTCTTAATATGTGAATGTGCAGTGAAGTGGGGCATGGAGGAAGGCTGAGATGCTAGGGAGTTTCCCTTCTGTCCTCTGCTGTCTCTGAGTTAGGAGGAATCTAGGGAGACTGGGCCATGATAAACCTTCCCTGATGTGACCTTCCTACAACCTCACCCACAGAACTAGGCCCGTGCAAGCAGCTCTGAAGAGCAGACACTTGAGTACAGGGTGCCATGTCTAGGTGCAAGGGAAAAGATGCTCCAAATCTAAACTCATTGCTATCAAGTTCATTCCAACAGAGATAACCAAAACCCAAGCCCACTGCCCTCAAGTCAATTCCAACACACATATTGGACAGGGAAGAAGGGCCCCTTGGGTTCCCAAGGTTGTAAATCTTATAGGGAGTAGACTGGCCCATCTTTCTCCCATGTAACTGCTGGTAGGTTTGAACCATCAGTCTTTTGGTTTGCAGCCCAACACTCTGCCGCCAAGGCTCTCTAACCATTCACTCAAAACTCATGGCCACTGAGATGACATTGACTCATAGCTGACTCTCTAAAGGCTGTAAATCACACTGAAGGAGATGGCTCACCTTTTTCTTGCAGAGTAGCTGATGGATTTGAAACTCCTACCATTGGATTGACAACACAACTCCTTATCCACTAGACCACCAGAGCTCTCAAGGAGATAATCAAGGGGGCTGAACTTCCTCCTCACAGTGATTACCTTAACTCTCAGCCTCCTTCTATAACACAGCAGGCCCTCACAAACCCACCTCCTCAAACATACAGCCGTCAAGCAGGTTTTGGCCAAGTGAATGGTGGATTCTTCCTTCTAAAGATCTCATTAAACACACTGAAGAATGAGAACTGGGCAAAGAGCTCCGAGTTCTCTGTTCTCTTCTGCACCATAGTTACATTGGAAGGAGTAAGGGCTTCCTGCCAGGTCTCACCCAGGCTGATATCCGTGTGTTATGTGTCCAGCCAAGGGAAGTCTGCTTAATGTAGCCAAGCCCAGCTGCTGCCCTGCAGCTGCCACCCTGGTGAGAGTGAACAGGCAGGCAGCTCTGGCTGTAGTGCCAGGCTCAGGCTACCCCTGCCAGGTCTGGTCTGTGGGCCTGTGGAGCCAAAGGGACTAGTGAAACAGAAGGAAACCCAACTGCTAGTCCTCACCCCTGTGAGCTAGAGATTTGTGTGTAGAGAAAATATTAAGTTTTAGTTACTTTCTTTGTCTTCAGGGGTTTGGGGCTTTGTTTTCAGGAAGAGTGGTTATAGACACAACTGACTTAAAGATGGAAGTTTCTAGGAAACAGGCAAAGGTTTTTGGCCTGGGTAAGATAAAGAGAGCTCTATGGGCCTGGTGGACAGAAAGTTATGCTACCAAGTCAAAGGTGGGTGATTTTAATCTTCAGCCCTCAGGCCTCGTTTTGTTTTTGGTCATACGTTCTTCTAAGTGGTATAGCACTGGTCTATCCATTTGTTGTACAGAGGTAACTCATGGTTGCTGTCATGCTAAACACTGTGACACTAATGTGTCAAATACAATAATGGTTACCCATCGTGAACAGTATTTGATGTAGCTCACTGATTAAAACAAGCGGAAGCAAGAGTGACATTCACTTACGAAATAGCTTGCCTCCAGAAACCCTATGAACTTGGAGAAATGATGAAAGTTATACAGATGTTCAGGTTTTTCATTCATAGGGTCACTATGAGTCATCTACGACTCAACAGCATTTAACAATAAAAGCAACAAAGATAAGCAGAGCATTAAAAGCAGCTCTTTGGAGGTTCCAGGGCCCTGGACTAAGGTTATCAGCACACTTAACAACTGCTGGGGGAGAAAAGGAGAATGAGGGGCGAGGGGCAGGACAGAGACACAAGGGCATTTTCCAGGTGATGGAAATGTGCTACATCTAGAAAGGGAAGGTGTTCAATGTATAAAGCGCTTGTGAAAATGGATCAAACAGTACCCTTCAGATCTGGACATACCACTGTATGTGCTTAGAAAAGTGGAGGGTCAGTGAAAGAGAGGAAGACCCCCAGCACGGTGACCATAGCAATGGGCTCAAGTGCACCAGCAACGGTCAGGATGACACAGGATAGGACAGAGTTCTAATCCGTTGTTCGTAGGGTTGCTAGGAGTTGTACTCAACTCAATGGCACATAACAACAATAACAATGAAATTTAATTCAATTAACAAAAATAACTGCTTATAAACACAACGAAACATTTTTCACTTTCGGCGATGTCAGAGCACCTTGTTGCAGGGTAGCCTTTTCACAAGAACAATTTACAAAGTCAAACAAAATTGGTTGAGGGTATCAGAGCTCTGATCCAGAATCTCAGAGGTCAAGGGCATTTAAAGAGGTGACCTTGACTCTTTCCTCACTTTGAGATTAGGGTATAGGGCCAAGCATTATTCAGAAAATGTTCTCTTGCTATCTATAAAATATTCATTGGCTAACTTTTCCAGAAGATTGCCATATTCCTCTTCCTAATCCTTCTTCAACTCCACTGAAACTTATTCACCACTGATGACCCTGCTGGTATTTGAAATACTGGGGTCATAACTTTTAGCATCACAACAAAATTAAAAATGCCACGATATGATAAAGTGACAGCCAAGTCTCACTTTGGATGTATTATCAGGAAGGACAACCCTGGAAGTAAAAATGAATAAAAAATAGCCCAGTTAGCACCAAAACAACCAAGCAAACAAATCTATTTTGAGCCAGCTCATTTTCTGTCTTGATTAATATGATCTGTCCTCCTTTGTCTTCCATAAAGCCAAATTAAGTACTCTCCAGTTGTAAGTAAAATAAAACTTCACAAAGCATGGCATAAAACAAGGCAAAATGAGAAAAAACAAGAGGGAAAAAAAGATAATGGAAATGGACCCACAGATGATCCAGATACTGAAGCTATCATGCATGGACTTTATAAGTCATTTTTATCTTTATGTTTTATTAACTCTGTTGTTGAGAATATGCACAGCAAAATATACTCCAATTCAGCAGTTGCTACATCTCCTCTTTAGTGACCTTGATTTGTGCAACTGTTCTCATCTGCCTTTTCTGGGTTCTCCTCCCTCATTAACATGAACTCCAGAACACCAAAGTTTCCTGTATAATCTTTTAAGTTGTTGTCGTTAGTTTGATCTCATATAGACAGTTCCTAAAAAAAAATATGATGCTCCAGGCAGAACATTTTTAATACTTAAGCTAAACTATTGTTTGTGTTTTGGGGTTTAAAAAAAATTTGTTTGTTTTAGGTTTTTTTAAAACAATTCGTTTATTTTGGTTTTTTAATAGGAATTAGATTTTTTTAAATGTGTATTCACTAAAAAATTCATTTATACCTCCTTTTAGAATATTAATTATAATTTATGAATGCCATTTCTTACAATGTCTCATCTAAGAAAACTTTAGGGTATATTTTTGAGTTAAGGTTTAAATATTCTCTCAGGACAATAACATCAGTTAAAATGATTTTATTTTAAAGTAATAATAATTTATTGGAGAACATTATTATGATGTAGAATTTCTTTAGAGAACTTGTTAGTTTTGTTGCATCAATTGCAACTCATAGGACCTCTGTGTATAACAGATTGAAATCTTGTGTAATGTTTGCTGTGCTCATTATTGCAGTTACTGTGGCAATCCCTCTCATTGATGATTTCCCTCTCTTTTACCAACCCTCTACCTTTCCAAGCATGGTATTCTTGTCCAGGGACCAGCCCTTCCTGAAAACATGCCCCAAATATGTGAGAGGAAGTCTCATCATTGTTACAGTCAAGACACTCTTTGACTGTACTTCTTCTAAGACAGCTGTGTTTGTTCTTTTAGCAGTCAATACTCCTTACCAGCACCACAATTCAAGGACACCAATTCTTTTGAAGTCTTCCATATTCATTGTTCAAGATTCACACACATTTGAAGTAATGGAACATACCATGCCTTGGGCCAAAACACCTTAGTCTTTAAAGTGGCATCCTTGTTCTTTAACGTTTTAAAGAGGTCATTGACAGTAAATTTGCCCAATCAGAAAATGAAGGTAACTAAGAAAAAAATAATCAGAAATAAATATTAGCTCTAAAATCTAGCAAAACACTAATTAAAAGTTCACTGGGTGGGTTTAGTAGCAAATTGGTTATAACAGAAGACAAGATTAGGGATCTGGAAATGACGTCAATTGAAAATATCTAGACCAGAAGGAAAAAAGAATAGGAAAAAAAACCCCAATAATATGGGAACATAATAAAAGCTGTTACTGGAGTCTCCCAAAAAGAAGATGTAAGATATAAGCAATATATGATTTGACACTGATTGATACTTTTCCAAAAGGGATCCAAGATATTAAGCTACAAATTCAAGAGGCTTTATGAACCCTATGAGAGCTATATAAAGAAAACCACAGCCAGATCCATCATGCTCAAACTCCTAAACCAAAGACAAAGAGGAATTCTTAAAAGCAATCGAGGGAAAATACCATCTTCCAAAGATCGACAGTAAGACTTACAGTTGAAAATGGTTTTTGTCAGGTGCAGTTGAATCAGCTGTAACTCACAGCCACCCTATGTTTAAACAACTGATTTGAGCCTTGCCCTATCGTGTACCATCTTCACCATCTCTGATACTCTCTAACCTATTTTTACACTGTGTCAATCCATCTTTGAATGTCTTCCTTTCCTTCTCTAACCATCCGCTGTCCCTGCATGATGTATTTTTCCAAAGACTGGTCACTTCTAACAACATGCACAAAGTATCTGAGACCTATCCAAGTATGTTTCACTATCCTTGCCTCTAAGGAGCACCCTGCTTCTGCTTCCTCCAAAACATACTTGTTTGTTCTTTTGGCAGTTCATGGGATATTCAGTACTCTTCTTCAACACCACAGTTCAAAGGCATAGATTCTTCTGTGCTGTTAATACTGAAAACCTAAAATTCTACAACTAGCAAAAACATCCTTCAACAATGAAGGTGAAATAAATGTTTTCATAAACTGGTTGTGTCCATAACCTTCCTTCCTCAAAAAGAAAAACAGAATTGTCATCTCATCAGAAAGATTTTTCTTTCCATATAGAATAACATCCCTGTCTCCCTCTTTCTCTCATTCTTCCATTTCCTTTTATTCCTATTAATAATCAGGAGCTCTTGTGGCCTAATGGCAAGAAACTGAGCTGCAATCCTGAAGGCATGCAGTTTGAGGCCACCTGCTGCTCCGTGGGAGAAGGACGAGCAATCACCTCCCATGTGTTTAACTGCCTCAGAAAACCCGTGGAAGGGTCAGCTGTGGGTCGGTTCTGACTCAACAACAACATTATTAATCACTATCTGACACCATCTACTTATTTGTGTATCATCTGTTTCCTCTTGCTAGGATGTAATTTCCTTGAGAGAGAGGGTACCTCAAAGATATCTAAGGTATATCAGATACTTGATAAGTATTTTCTGAATGAATGCATGAATCTTAACCACATAGTCCCAGCCATCATCATCCATCTCTCACCTGGGCCACTACCAGACTCCCTAACTGGTCTATGTCCATTCTACACTCCCTGCTCCCCTTATCTGTTCTCCATATATGGGTAGAAAAAATTTGCCCACATTCCTATTGTATCCCACCTCGATTACATCCGTGTTTGAGTCACTTCTGTAGCTTTCTGTACACATAGAATACAAATCTTACTTCTTCATAGGATTTTATAGGAAGAGTGAGAAGTTTGTATAAAGGTAGGGATGTGTTTGAAAATAGCAGAAACACATGTAACTGAAGTAGAATGAATAAATGAGAGCATGATGGGACACAAAGTTATAGAGACAACAGTCCACAGGTCATTAGGATCCTACAAGTCACAGGCAGGATCTTTACTTTTACTTGGGGTGAAATGTGGAGGGACTAGAGTGTTTGAGTGGAATGACGGCTAAGCAGTTGGGGTTTTATTAGAACCACTCTGTTCTATAGAGAATAGACTAAAGGCAGATGAGGCAGAGCAGGGAGACCAGGTAGGAGGCAATTGCAGTAGTTGAGGTGATATAGTTGTGATGATGGTGGTAGTGGAGATGAAGAGAAGCAGAGATATTTGAGACATACATGGGAGAAACCATTTGCAGAACTTAGTTGTGGGTCAGAGTGAAAGGTGTCAGGGAGAACTCCCAGGTTTGTGACTTGTAGAACAGGATAGGTAGGACGTACGTCACTGAGATATGGATGCTGAAGGAGGGCCAGGATCAGGGGAGGATCATGAGCATTGTTGAAGATGGACGTTGTGGAGAATACCTTTGAGCCATTCAAGGAATACTGACCTAACTGAACCTGGAGCTCAGAGCCTTTTGTGTGATAAAGTGAGGACCATGTATGAGGGCTCCTTCTTCCTGGTGAACTGATAACCTCATTTCCCGCCCAGAATGAGCGAGAACAGATCATGACCACTAACTAACATTAGAGCCTTTTGTGTGATAAAGTGAGGACCATGTATGAGGGCTCCTTCTTCCTGGTGAACTGATAACCTCATTTCCCTCCCCAGAATGAGCGAGAACAGATCATGACCACTAACGTCTGGCTGAGACAGGTAAGCTCCCTGCAGGGTGTCCAGCCAGGAGACGTTTCCTCCATGGCTGCCCCTTGGTGATGATGACCTACAAGTGACAGGGCCTTGCCTGTCTGCTCAGGAATGGACTGATTACCGCCTGGCCTGGAACAGCTCCTGCTATGAGGGTGTGAACATCCTGAGGATCCCTGCAGATCACGTCTGGCTGCCAGACATCGTGCTGTATAATAAGTGAGTGGTGCGGGAGGGTCAGTGCCTGGGGACGGCTAGGCCTCATGGTGACCGCATGCAAGTAGCTGGTCTAACTGAACTCCAGTTCTGAGTCCAGACCGAGGCCCCATCTGGGCTTCACCCGACTCAGGCCATTAGACTGGGAGAAGAATTAGAGATGAGCAGAGATAATATCCTTGGTTACAGATGGAGACCCAGGGAGAGGGTAGCATTGCCTGATTCACACAGGTGCAGCTGGGACCGGGACCAGGACCAGTCCAGAGCCCTTTCATTGCTTTGTCACTGTTAGCTGCACTCATTTATTATATATAAATGTCTTATAGGTCGGTGTCAGAAGCTAGAGAGAGTCTTCCACAGTTACAATAATAACAACAGTGATGTGGTATGATTATTACGTAGTCTACACCAAAGATCTGAGTTCAAATCCCAGCTGTATGCCTTACTAGTTTTCTAAACTTGGAAAATTCACTTATCTTCTCTGATCCTTGACTCTTCTGCCTGTATAATGGGGATAACAAACTCCACCTCTTTGGTCTATTGTGAGTCAGTGCATGTGAAGGTTGCCTCATGGGAAGGCTGTCACTCCCACACAGCTGCCAAGACAAACAGGCTTCTTTCAGAAAGCGCAGGCATCTGAAGAGATTAGAAGTGTGATTATCAAGAAATAATCCAGAAGGGCTCCTTGGGGAGTTGTGGATGCAGGCCTTGGTCATGGGTTTCATGTTGCTTCTGTTCTATGCCCACAGTGCCGATGGGATCTATGAGGTGTCTCTTTACACTAACGTGGTAGTCCAGTCCAATGGCAGCATCATGTGGCTACCCCCTGCCATCTACAAGAGTGCCTGCAAGATTGAGGTGAAGCACTTCCCCTTTGATCAGCAGAACTGCACCCTCAAATTCCGCTCCTGGACCTACGACCACACGGAGATTGACATGGTCCTCAAGACACCCACAGCCAGGATGGATGACTTTACCCCCAGTGGCGAGTGGGACATCTTAGCACTCCCAGGGCGAAGGACCGTGAACCCGCAGGACCCCACCTATGTGGATGTGACGTATGACTTCATCATCAGACGCAAGCCACTCTTCTACACCATCAACCTCATCATCCCCTGCGTGCTCATCACCTCGCTGGCCATCCTCGTCTTCTACCTGCCCTCTGACTGCGGTGAAAAGATGACCCTGTGCATCTCGGTGCTCTTGGCCCTCACCGTCTTCCTGCTGCTCATCTCCAAGATTGTGCCTCCCACCTCGCTGGATGTCCCGCTCATCGGCAAGTACCTCATGTTCACCATGGTACTGGTCACCTTCTCCATCGTCACCAGCGTCTGTGTGCTCAACGTGCACCACCGCTCGCCCAGCACCCACACCATGGCGCCCTGGGTCAAGCGCTGCTTCCTCCACAAGCTGCCCACCTTCCTCTTCATGAAGCGCCCCGACAGTAGCCCCGCCAGGGCCCCCCAGCCCACTCAGTTGTGCCTGACCAAGACCGAGACCGCTGCCACCTCCTCCGCCATGGGCCCTCCCAGCCCCTCCACCTTCTATGGACACTCCATGTATTTTATGAATCCTGCCTCTGCTGCTCCCAAGTCTCCAGCGGGCTCCAACTCAGCGGGGATTCCCAAGGACTTCCGACTGAGGTCTTCTGGGAAGTTCCGGCAGGATGTTCAGGAGGCCTTGGAAGGGGTTAGCTTCATTGCCCAGCACATGAAGAGCGATGACCAAGACCAGAGTGTAAGTCAGTAGCCCGGCTCCTGCCCACCTGCATGGTTACATACACACATGTACACACACAAGTTGCTGTTGCTTCACAATCAATCCCAACTCATGAGGCCCCAAAGTGTGTTAGACTAGGACTGTGTTCCATAGACTTTTAAATGGCAGATTTTTTAAAAAAAGAGACCATCAGAAAAAAAGGAGAGAGAGGCCACCAGGACTTTCTTCCATGGCACTTGTGAGTAGTCACAAACCTCCAGCCTTCCTGTTAGTAGACAAGGGTGTTACCCATACGTGCCATCCAGGGACTCGGAAAAATCTCAAATGCTTTAAATAAGGAATGAAGAACTTTCAGGAGTGTTGTTGTTGTTGTGTACTGTCAAGTTGGAACCAACCCATAGCCACCCTCCAGTAGGTTTTCAGAGACAGTTAATTGCACAGGAGGAAATTGTCCATCCTTCTCCCACAGAGCAGCTGGTGGACTCAAACCATGTGCCTTTGGTTTGCAGTGCAGTTTCTTAAGACTGGGCCACCAGAGCTCTCAGGAGTATTCGTAAACTTCATGCATGGGGGTGGTGAAGAGGTCACACATGCCAGTGACATTTTGGGTGTTTGTTTGGAGTTGTCCCTGAAGTAGGCCCTTCAAATGAGGACTTTGGTCCAGGTAGTTTATTTGGAAGGTGAAGGACAGACAAAGTAGTGGGGAAAGGAGAAGAGTTAATATTGGGTATTAGTGAGCAGGTCACTGCTGTGGGTTTTAATCAGCTTGTTGGGGACCTTCTGAGGAACCATGTGGAACTCACTGTGCAATCATCCCACAGGGAGGCTGGAATGTTTACCCACTAGCTCTCATCACCCACAGGCTGAAGGCAGCCCTAGGGACACTAACTCCATCCACTTCTGGGTGATGCCTGCTTGCCAAGAACAAGGCCCCCCTTGCTGGAGAAATTTCCCTTGCAGAGCAGCAGGGAGACACAGGCTCTAGAAATGGGAGGTTACCACCAACCAGAAATTGACTGCCCACCTCTTGGGAACATAGGAGTCTGGGCAACCAGGGCATCTGCTTCCTTTCTCTTCTGACATGCCAAGAAGTCATATGAAGATTTCTAGCTTTTAGGAGCATAAAAGCATCAACTAAAATATCACTAGTTCTTTGAGCATGTTGTCAGGATAGGCCAGCCCTTGGTAAAGGAAATCATGCTTGGAAAGAGGGAAATCAGAGAGAGAGGAAGACTCTCAACAAGATGGACTGACAGAGTGACCCTAACAATGAGCCAAGCATATCAGAAAACCAGAAGATGGCACAGGATGGGGCAAGGTTCCAATCTGTTGTTTGAAGGGTTGCTGAGTCATAGTCGACTCAACAGCACCTAACAACACAACAACAAGCTCCAGGGTAATGAATTATCAAGTAAAGTGTCTAGAATGACAAATTTTACCAGACCGAGCAATAAGCACTAATGTTTGAAGTCTCCAATAGCTCCTTTGGACAAATAACACTTCTAACGACAATGTCATAGTAACGGAACACAGAATTCTGGTACTGAGATGTTCACGCACGTTTCCATAGCAGCCAGGAGAAGATGTTCTCATTTCAACACCTTATCAGATCAGATTCTCTGAGCAGAATTTTCACAGTGTCGCCCCTCTGCAGCTGTATAGGGACAAAGAGGACATCTCTTTGCTCTTATCTGAGATTCCTTTTCACAAGACACATTCTCTGGAGAAAATGCTGGAATTCCATTAGCGTGGAGAGAAGAGAGCTGGCTGGAAAAGCTCCAAAATGACACTCTAAAATGGAAAGAAGAGATGCTAGCACATGGGATATGGGACAAGAGCAATTCTTCTACATCTTTGCTACTCAGTGTGGTCCTCGGGGCAGCATTACCAGCACCGCCGGGGATCTTGTCCTTGGGGACTGTCCAGTCACTGTCACCTCATCCCATGTGGCAGCGTAGGATTGCTCCCAAGTTTTCATGACTGGAATCCTTTTATGTCTATTTGTTTTTTACATTTTTCAATTGTGATTTGAGTGAAAGTTTATAAGTCAAATTAGTTTTTCACTCAATAATTCATATACATTTTGTTTTATACCCTCAGTTCCAGTACCCACAACGTAACTGCTCTTTCCCCACTTCCTTCCTGGAGTTCTCATTTCCATGAATCCTTCTGTCCTACCCCTTTCTTGCCTTCAAAGCTCTGTCCTTTGGAAAATGCTGCCCCCTCAAGACCATGGTCCTTAGTCATTGTTTGATCATAGAACCAAACTCACCTCCCATGACTCAGCATTCAGACAAACAATAGGCAGGCCTATGAAGTGACAGCAAAAGGAGCTCTTGTGGCCAAGTGGGAAAGGAGTTGCACTGTCAACCCAAAGACAGGCAGTTCAAATCCACAGAGTGCTCCTCAGGAAAAAGATGAACTATCTCCTCCTTTGTTATTTACAGCATTTGAAAGCCCGCTGGAGGGTCAGTTCTGCCTCAACACCACACAGCAACATACCTACATAAGGTGATAAAAGGGAGGTTTGGGGCTTAATCTGTAAGGAGTTGAGCTGCTAACCCAGAGGCAATGCCTCTCTAGTAGTTCAAATCCACCAACGGCTTTGAGGGAGAAAGATGGACAGTCTCCTTCCATGAGATTTACAGCCTCTGAAAACCCAATGGAGTGTCAGCTATGAGTCACTTCCAAATTAGTGGCAAATAAAACAAGGTGACAATGGGCTTGAGCATAGTGGTGCTGGCTCAGGACAGGGCAAAGTTTCTCCCTGTTGTTCATATGGTTGCTGTGATTTGTAGTTTACATGGTGCTTTCACAGTACCAAAGAACAACAAAGGGACCAAGAGCACTGAGGAAGGCACTTACTTTTTAAAATAACCAAATAATTTTCATGGGAGCAAATTGCCAGATCTTATCCACACAGAGACACTGTTGTTATTAGGTGCCATCGAGTACTACTCGTAGGGACCTTATATAACAGATCTGAACCCCCTCTTATCCTGTACCGTCCTCACATTTTCTACCACACTCAAGTCACTGTTCCAATCGATCTGATTAAAGACTTCCTCTCTTTCACCAACTCTCCCACCTTTCCGAGCATGAAGTCCCTCTCCAAGGAATTACGTACCCAAAGTATGTGAAATGAAGCTTTATCATCTCGAACTCCAAAGAACATTCTGGATGCACTTTCTCCAAGACATATTTGTTCTTTTGACTGTCCATGGGATATTCAATAATCTTCTCCAACACCACAGCTCAAATGAGTCAGTTCTTCTGCCATCATCCTTATGTATTGTCCAGCTCGAAGATATATAGCAAGTGACTGAAAAGACCATGACCTGAATCAGGCATACCTTAGTCCCTAACCTAACATCATTACTCCTCAATATTTTGGAGAGGTCCCTGACTACAGACTTTCCCAGTTCTATACATTTCCTGATCTCCTGACTGCTGGTGCCAAGGATGTTGATTGTGGATCCAAGAAAGAGGAAGTTGTTGACTGTTCTAATCTTTTCTCCATCTATCATGATGTTGCCTATCAGTCTAGTGATGAAAATTTTTGTTTTCTTGACATTGAGATACAATTCAAATTGAGGGCTATATTCTTTGATCTTCTGCAACATGCATCTCAAGTCCTCCTCACATTCAGCAAGCAAGGTTGTATCATCTGCATAATTCAGGTTATTGATGAGTCTGCCTCCGATCCTGATGCTACATTCTTCTTCAGAGTCCAGCTTCCTGAATTATTTGCTCTGCATACAGATGGAATAGAATAGAGAGAAGACACAACCCTAATATATGCTTTGTGTTTTGCTGTGATGCTGAAAGCTATGCCACTGGTGTGTCAAATTCCATAAGGGTCACCCAAGGTGGACAGGTTTTAGCAGAACCCCTAGATTAAGACAGATTAGGAAGAAGCGTTGACATCCTTCTTAAATAGCAGGCCTCTGAAAACCCAATGAACAGTAGAGGAACATGGATAGTTATTTAATTAGAGGTAGAGCCCAGATTGGAAGTCACTCAAAATGAGGAGATACAGCTACAAGCACGTTTAATCATTGGAACAAAGAATGTACGAAGTATGAGTGTTGGAAAACTAGGAGTTGTGAAAAATGAAATGGAACACATAAACATGGACATTCTAGGCATTAGTGAGATGAGACGGACTAACTTGGGCCACTTTCAATCAGACAATCGCATGGTATCCTATGCGGGAATGAAAAGCAAGAGAAGAATAGTGTTGGATTCATAGTTTTAAAAAGACAATTCAAGTTCTTTCCTGAAATACAATGTTGAGTGAGTGATAGGATATTTTCCATACACAGGGACACAAAATAATTTCAAACCACTAATCTTTCTTTTAGCAGCTAAGTTCTTAACTATCTGTGCCATCAAGACTCCATGGGTTCAAGTTAGAAAGGCAGACTCTCAGGTCCTGCCCTAAACTGGCAGAACCAGAGTCTACACTCTAACCAGATCCCTAGGAGAATCATTGGTGCATTACTGTTTAAGAAGCATTGCTCTAAATAGTGATCGGATTTCACTTTGTAAAAATTAATTTGATCATGTTATTCTCTGCTTTTGAACTTGCTCAGTATTACCTAATTCATGGCTTCCAGATGCCACTGTGCCATTGGGGACCATATACTGGCTAAATGAGAGCCCCTAGGGAACTTGTCTAAAATACAGCTTCTAAGGCTGCTGATTCCAAGTGATCCAGGGGCACTTGGGGAGGCAGCTGTGAGCTTGTATTTCTAACTAGATCTGCAGGGGTTTGTGAAGTTATGGGTGATGCAGACAGTCTGCACATTGAGATGCTGACTTAAAGGTTGGAGTTTAAAGTTCACCCAGAGGCATCTCTGAGGAAAGGCCAGGTAACTTGTAGTCACTGTGAAGCTGAACACTGTAACACTGATGTGTCAAATGTGATAATAGTTACCCATGGTGGGCAGTGTTTGGTGGTGCTCCCCAGTTAAAACAAGCTTGGAAGCAGGAGTGGCATCCACTTCTGTAAATAGCTTGCCTCCGGAAACCCTATGAACCTGGAGAAAGAAATTCACGCAAGTGTCGAGGACTCTCATTCAGAGGGTCGCTATGAGCCGCCTACGACTCAGTGACACTTATCAACAACAACAGCAACATGCACATGAGGTTCTGTCACCCCTAGTTCCATCTTCTGAGGCTTCACCTCTCCCTTGGCACTGCCCTGGCCTCTCTCCTGCTGTTTCCAGCAGGAAGGGGCCAAGCAGGACTCACAATCACCAGTGTTTATGGACCTGGCCCATGCAGCCTGCACTCTGCTACGACCTGACACCTGACGTGCTTTACTGCTAATTCTCCAGGAAGCCTATTGTCTTTGTTTCTTAGGGATGTGGTAACAAAAAATACTGCAGGTGTATGGCTTTAACAGTTATTTATTGCCTCACTGTTTTGAAGGCTCCAAGTCGAGTCATAAGCAGGGCTAGTCTGCCTGTCTTTCTCTCTTTGTGGACTTGAAGCAAAGATTTGGCTCTTTTTGCTTTTGTAGCCTGAACATTCCTTTGAGTTCTTGACAGCTTGTAAACACATCTTTACATGAATCTTTTGCTGCTCCAACTTTTTAGAAGACATCCCTCAGATAGGATCAGGTTTAGGACCCATCTTGCTCTGGTATGACCTCATTAACATGACAAAAGAAAATGCCAATTTCCAAACTGGGACCCATTCACAGTTTACAGGGATTAAGATTTCAACATATTTTAGGGGGATATAATTAAATGCATAACACCTGTGCAGTGACTTTTACTCAAATCTCAATTTTCTGGGGGTGGGGGGACAGGGAGAAGTAAGACACAGAGAGGCTCATTAACTTGCCCAGGGTCACACAGCTGATCCAGGGCTGACTCAAGCTCCACCCCAGGTCTTTCGGACATTCTTCCATTCTCCCTCCCCTGTGCTTGCCCTGTTCTGAGCACACTCTGGACTTCCTGGATGACTGGCTTTCTCATGGCTAATTGGAGAAAAGAGACTTGCTTCCCTTCAGAGCACACCGCTCAGCCAGTCCATGGAGTGTTTCTCATCTTCAGCACTTACATCCTCCCTGGTGATTAACTTGGTCACTATAAATAGCACAGAAATATAAAAAGGGGGAAACAGCACCAACAGGGGAGAAAATGCAGCCCTTTGAAATTAGGACTGTCAGAAAGAAACTCAAGGAAGCTGGGGAGAGCCACAGTCTAAGAAGGCCTGCTGCAGCTCAGGACAGGAGTCAGGCATGTGGGGTGTGTGACAGAGGTGTAGTCCAAAAGCGGATTGTATCCTGGAGGGTAGACACACGCCACTTACTGGGTCACTGATGCCAGCTTGCCCGTTGACACCTACATTTCCAAAGTCCATGCTTCTGCTGCATCCTTCTGGCTTCCAAGCTCACCAGGAAAGCACACAGTGCCATCCAGACATGAGGGCATGCGAGCAGGCACCAGGGAGGCCAGGGAGCCAATATGCAAGTCTCACAATGTTTCCCTCAGCACAAAGGACGATGGGCACCTCTGGGGGCCAGCCAGGTTGCTGTCAACTCTATACCCTACAATGGGATCTGAGAAGACCCTGGAATGAGAGAGAAACCCAGATGACGGAACAGAACAAGGCTGGGTTTTGAGGATAGGAAATAGCAGAATATGTTACATGTTATATGTTACACTGATCCACCAGCCGTTCTTTGGGAGAAAGAGGGACCTTTCCCAGTAATGATTTTCGGCCTTGGAAACCTAATGGTCACCATAAATTAGAATCAATGTAAAGGCTGGGGTGGGTGAGTGTTGCTTACTAGGGAGTCCCTGGATGGTGACAATGGTTAATACCTTTGGCTGCTAACTGAAAGGTTGGAGAGTCAGTTCTACCCTGAAGTGCCTCAGAAGAAAGGCCTGGTGATCAACTTCTGAAAAAAACGAGCCATTAAACCACCCTGTGGAGCACTTTGTGCTCTGACACACGCAGAGTTGCTATAGTTGGAATTGACAGGAGGGCCACTGGCTTCCATTACAGGCACACCTCTCACACTGTATGGAGCTCTGGTGACACAGTCCAGAGGGGTTGTGTTGCTCACCCAAAGGCCACATCTCTCTGATAGTTCAAATTCATTAACAGCTTCACAGGAGAAAGACAGGCAGTCTCCTCCTGTGTCATTTACAGCCTCTGAAAACCCTCTGGAGGGTCAGCGATGAGTCGGTTCTGAGGCAAAAACAGTGACATGAACTGAGCTCATATGGCTGCATGTTGCCTTATCTGCTTTGTAGATAGCACAATTTTTTTACAAATAGAAGGCTTCTATGAGTATATTTATGAGTATATATTATAATGAGTATATTTGAACCATTTTTCCAACAATGTATGTCTCTCTCTTTGTGTTATCTTTCAGTTATAATTCTTGTATTTCATTATTTCACAGTACTATTGCATACTTACTAGATGATAGTATAGTGTAAATGTAACTTTTCTATTCACTGAGAAAGAAAAAAAAATTTGTGTGACTTCATTCAACATGACACTTGCTTTATCACAGTGATCTGGGGAGGAACCCATGTGTTTCTGTAGTGAAGTGAGTAAACTAAGGGGCCTGGGTTTCCAGTGTCCTGTAGGCCCCCATTGCCCTGCCCACTGAGCTAGGTGGGTCCAGAACCTTCCTGTGCACAGGAGCAGCTCAGGCAGTGGGTTTGGGAAGAAAATGAGAGGAGGGGGCCTTGTGATCTTCAGGGACCATGCCCCTTAGAAATCCGATCAGGTTTAAATCACAGTGTATTGAAATGATACCTTCTTACATTGCTAACTCTGCTGTTCAGCCTGGTTCTCAGGGTGAGGCTATGCAGTACAGAGTTGGGTGGTTCATTTCACTATGTTGGAAGACACTGAGAGGCACAGAGTTGCCCAGTTAAGAGACCAGCTTGAGAGAATCAGACTTGTCCCTCCAGCATGTGGTTCCAAACCTATAGTCTGGAAAAGGGGTTGCCGGTCTGACAGTGACAGTGAGGGCCTGACTTGGGGTTGGAAGATGGGTAGGAGAAAGCAGAGGAAACATCAGGCTTGATACGTGTCACTCCCTTGACCACGCCTTCTGTCTGCCTGCAGGTCATTGAGGACTGGAAATATGTGGCCATGGTGGTGGACCGGCTGTTCCTGTGGGTGTTTGTGTTTGTGTGTGTGCTGGGCACTGTGGGGCTCTTCCTGCCCGCCCTCTTCCAGACCCACACTCCAGCTGAAGGGACCTAAGCTGCCCAGATGGTCCATATGCCCGTGGGGCGTCAGGGCGAGATGAGGTGAGTGGGCAGGTGGCCAGTTGGCAGCTTCCTTCCAAGAATCCTCATGGGGGCTACAGATGTATGGAACCATTGTCCCCATGAGACTGGCTGTGGCTGTGGGAGTGGTGAGAAGGGGACCTGGGCTGTCTTCAGATACCCAAGCCCATCTTCCTTCCCTGCTCCAGGCTCTGAGAATAGGGATGAGCATAAGAGCAGTACCTACTATGTGCCTGACCTCTTGCCTAAACCTCATATGGCCGCTACCCACACTTCACTCGCCTCCTCCACCTAGCCACAGGCTCCAGCCAGGCTGGCCTTTAAGACCCCTCTGAGCTCACAGATTTTGCTGTAACTTCTATGGGAAAACTCTTCAGAGAGCTTCATCACCCAGGACTCTCCTCCAATGCCTCCTTCTCCCAGAAGCCTTCCCTGATTGTCTATTCTAAACAGCTTCCCCTATGACCACCCAGCCCCACCCCTTTCACACACTCTTAGTACATGAAGCTTTTACTTGCTGGTATCTTGATCTACTAGAGTGTGAGCTCTATGAAAACAGGAACCTGGTCATTCAAGTTCACTGTGGGGTCCCCAGAGCAGAAGACAGAGCTTGGCATACAGCAGACGGTCAGTAAGTGTGAAATTAATGAGTGGGCTGCTCCTCTTCATCCCTGCCACTGACACACTTCCTCCTCTACACAGTCGCCCCTGCCTTCCCAAAGTTATAGGATGAATTTTTTTAGGTGCCCCCTAAAAAGATATGTTCAAGTCCTACCCCCACATACCTGTGAATATAACCTTATTTGCAAATAGGGTCTTTGCAGATGTAACTCAATTAAGTTAGCATGTGGCCTTACTGGAGTAAGAAGGGTCCTCATCCCGTATGACTGGTGTCCTTATGAGAAGAGACACAGACAGATGCAGAGGGAGCATGGCTGTATGTGGTCCTGACACAACCAAGGACTTCCTGAACCACCAAAATCTGGAAGAGACAAGGAAGAAGCTTTCCTAGAGCCTTAAGAGAGAGCAGGAATTTTAGCCCCCAGAACTGTGAGAGAATAAACTTCTGTTGATGTAAACCACTTGGCTTGTGTTACTTTGTGATCTGGTGCCAGGGAGCTTGGACACCACCAGAAAATTAATGGCCTCCTCCTCTGGATTCCATAACCCAGCCACTTCTTACTCTTAGGTTTTGGCTGGGTTCAGGTCTGTCTGTCTCACAAATGCCCTGACTTGAATACCCCTCTGTTGCCTCTCATATACTAGCTTTTGTACAGTGCCTGGCACTTGGTAAACACTCAAACTCACTGCTATTAAGCTGGTTTGAGCTCTTAGAGACGTGAGGCTGTAAATCACGAGGGAGAAAACTGCACATCTTCCTCCTGCACCAGCACCTTTGGGTTATCACACAGCCTTCTATCGACTATGTCATCAGAGCTTCCTCTGTCTACTCTAGTGAATGAAATCTTATTTGTGGGTTTCAGTTGCATTTCCTTTCCCTCATGGGGATTACTATCTGGACACAGGAGCGGCATCCACTTCCGAAATGGCTTGCCTCCGGAAAATCTATGTACGAACAGTGCTCAGGCCTTTTATTCATAGGGTCGCTATGAGTCGTCTACGACTCCACAGCACCTAACAACAACATGGCTAGTAATAGTGAATGTCTTTCTGTGTGTTATTTGCCTTCGGTACATCCCTTTTGAGAGTCCTAGTGGCTAGTCCTCAGAGAATTCACTGCTATCCAAAAGGCCAGGCCTCACTGGTGGTGGAATCTATCAGATGCTCCTTGGAGAGAAAGGTGCGACATCTCCTCCTCTGCAATTTTTAGTTACTAAAACTCGTTTTCCACAGGGTCAACTATAAGCAGTTCCAACTAGACAGCAAAAAGCCTCTTTGGCCTATTTAACTCTTTGGCTTATTTTAAAACTAGGCTTATTTTCTTATTCTGAAGCAATTTTTTTGTTGTTTTTGTATGGTATTTAAAGTTTTTGAAACAATCTTTTGAGATATAATTTTGATCCTCTGGATGGTTTTTGTTATGCACTGGTCACAAGAAACTCATAGCTGACCCACCCACAGGTTTTCAAAGGCTGGAAATCACATGGGAGGAGACTGTCCTTATACTCAACAGCTGCTGGACTTGAACCTTGTGCCTCTGGGCTGGCAGAGCAGCTCCTTACCACTAGGCCATCAGAGCTCCCTACATTCAATGATATTCATTCTAAGTGTACAATTAAATGAGTTTTAATAAGTTTATCCAGTTTTAGCACGTTTTCATCATCCTAGTAAGATTCCTGGAGGGAGCTGCACTACTAACCCAAAGGTGGTCCGTCTCTCACAGTTCAAATCCACCAGCCGCTCCATAGGAAAAAGATGTACAGTCTCCTCTCCTGCAATTTACAGCCTCTGAAAACCCACGGGTCAGCTAAGAGTTGGTTCCAACTTGACAATATTAAGCATGAACTTGAATAAGACCATATCTGTTGAGACAATCCACAAGGAATT